CTCTCTCTCTCTCTCTCTCTCTCTCTCTCTCTCTCTCTCTCTCTCTCTCTCTCAAACTTCAAATTTATTCCTTCTACAATATGTAATTGTTTAAAAAAAAACAGTCCTCACGGTGGCGCGCATGCATTTTCGATCCCCATTGTGGTTTACAGAAGCGCGGAACAATGTGAACGGTGTCCACGATGGTGTCGGTCGAAATGACGCTGCTGTGCTGATGTCCATTCGCATTCTCCCATTTCAATTCCTTGCAACCTGTCACGTGTTCCCGTTCACTATCAACCTCTTTGTACCACTGCACAAAAGCGCACTTGTGTTCCACATTGCCTCCGTCTATGGGTACATCGACGACGAAAAACATGGCCACTGATGCGAACCACGTACATTCGTTGGCTGCTCTTATTGCGACGTCGCTGTGCACTGGTCTCCCGTGGAACCGCGGCGACGCTCGTGCAGTTTGAACAAGTGTGCCCCTGTTTGTTCCGTCCTGCGTGCAAGCGATGGCGAGATGTGTTCCCGTGTGTATAGCGAGATCATCGGTAGGAGGTTGACAACCATTCTCCGCCATGTACGCCATAATCGCTGCTCGAAAATTGGTTCTGAAAGGGAGCTCTTCGAGTATCTGACACGCACGGCTGTCAACGCCTTCCACCTCGCGTATCTGGTCTTGATCGATGTTGAACCAGCGCATTTGAAGGATTGACGTGTCGCGTAGTGCCAGGGTGTTCAACCCCGTTGCCATACAGTCCGTCACAGAAGACCTATTCTCAACGGCCCTTTTCCTTCTTTTCCTTACAATTCCGGTCTCCTCCTGCAACGCCAGCGACCGGCGCACGTGGTTGACCATCTACGTTGACGCTTTCCTTTTGTTCGATGACAAGTACGGTTGTTTGCAGAATCTCCTGTGGTGATGCTCCCAAACGTCTGCAGCGAATGTGTCGGCCACACCAGATCGCTCGATACTCGCTCTCATGTGCATAAGATCATGCAACTTCGGGAGTTTCCAATTCGATGGTTGGTATCTTCCCAATTTCGCTTTGATGGTCGTTACGAAGTCCGTCATCAACGCGTCGCATTCGTCGAGGGAAGCTTGAGTGTGTGCTGTGCGCTGAAACAAACGTACGTACATTTGCATCAGCTTGACGAAACAGGCGGTAATGCCCTTGCCTGTCGAGCACGGGATTATATTAAAAATGAGGAACATGCACACTGTCATCACAGACCGGTTCTGCTTCGCCTCGAAGCGTCCCTCTCTAGAAAAAAAATCACTGCCTGTGGCCACGGGCAGCACAAGTTGGGGATATGTTCGCGTACATCTCTCACTAACGCATTGCAATCTCGCATCGAGTTCCTTCAGGATCTCAGTTTGCGGTGTGTGCGGCAACTTCTCAAAGGCTGCCGCCCTGAATGCGTCGACCATGTGCAGGAATATGCCATGTTCGATCGTGTGCATACGGTCTGGTTGCAATGCGAGGTGGTAGTCTAGTTGAGGATCATCGCCGCTCGGCCCCCTGTAGAACCCCCAAAGGCCGTTCTGTTCAACATGCCTATGCATGTCCAACTCTGCTATTCGCCCTCTCGCTTCGCGGCGCACGTCATTGTCGTCCGTCGTGAACAGGGCTTCTGCGAGTTGGGTTTCCAGCGTCTGGGATCTCCTGCAGTCCGTGAAATCGGCCACAACATCGAGGTCCGTTTTCGACACGGTGAATGGGGGGCATACACCAAACTTCACATTCGCCAGCGCACATCGTTCTGGATAGTCTTGTATATAGTTGAGGAGGAAAGGGTGGACAGTCACGTCCTCGAATCGCGTCGATGGCATCGTGATGCCGTCGTGCGACGCCTCCTTCGCAGCTTGCAAGACCATCGAAAGGGCCTTGTGGAAGATGACGGCCTTTCGCTTCCTAAATGCGTTGGACTGAAGACCCCATCCTTTGTCACGGGGTCGATGATGAAGCAAGGGGAGATAGGCCAGCAGAGTGGCTTCCGACGCGTGGTCGGCTAGCGACATCATAAGAGGGTATGCGGTCTGTTTCTGACGACCGTCTGTGTGTGTCTTGTCGGAGTAGAGTGAGAGAGGGATCACATATCGTGGATTTCCATTCCCGTCNGTGAGAGAGGGATCACATATCGTGGATTTCCATTCCCGTCGACACCTTTGTGCGCTCGAATGGTTGACTGCGTGTGATAGCTTAGCGCCCCACTGTGCGGACCGGACACACTGTGGTCGTCCGACGGCGGGGACACTTCAAGGGAATGAACCGTCTCGCATTTCTGCAACGCGACCTGCATTATCGACAAGAATGCAGTTCGCCAATCGCGGTGCCACAAGATGGCGTGCGCTCCTTCAGGCCAGTCGTCACTACGCAGGTCCGACTCCTTCCACCCGGCGGCCTCTGGGAGACTGCCCGCCCATGCGAAGCACTTTCGACTGTTGCGGTACGCAATGTCCGCCGCACTGAATCTCGAGTCTTTGAGAAGTGACAAGAGAGCATCAACGTCGCAATGCGACATACCGACGCCGCCACGTGCGGACAAAATAAGCGCTGCTAGCCTGCGCGAGTTGTCAAAAGGCTCGACAAGTTGTGCTTCCGGCTCTGCGTTGTCACCCGCTGCCCCGTTCGCGTTGTCCTCTGCCCCCGCGTCGTCGCTGTCATCAGCTGCGAGATTTGCTGCGCCCATGTCGGATGGCCTCGGGTCGTGGGCAACATTGTTCTCCTGCCTTTGCGCCCCCTCTTCCACCACGGCCGGGCATGCCCTCGCACGATGCGAGTTTAAAGTCCGTAAGGACATGAAAGGTCTGCCGCAGTCGCACACCAGTGGACCGTTGTCCATTTCCTGTGCACGCAGTGCATTCGAAACACAAAGACAGCGAAGCGGACAATGCTTCGTTAGCATTTTCCACATATGGTCGGGGCATGTGCACTACGTAATGCTGACCATGTTTTCTTATGCAGTGTGAGTCCTGCACGTTGTGGAAAAAGCGTCTAAGCATGTTTTTTTCACCTATCCATCGTGATCAGTGAGATTGCCCACACGAGGCAAACTCTGACTCACTTTCCCGGATGTGTACACTACATTGAAGATAGAGACTTGAGATCGGGCGAGCAGGAAATATATATAAACTCCGACGAAACAGTTTGTCACAGCCCCTCGTTTGTTGTCCTCTTCTCCCTCTCTGCCTACGGTTTACCGGGCAGTTCTATTTGACGATATATATAAAACAACAACACAAATTCGGAAAAAAAAATTAACAATTACAAAAATTACCCGAAAAAAAAAAAAAAGGTGCAAGATCACACACGAAACACGCATCAGGTTATAATGGGGGGGGCGGTCTGATGAGTCTGAAGTGCCCTAGAAAGCAACATGGAATCAAAAACATCGTAACAATAATGAACTGCATGAAAGAAAGAAATATGCAGTATCTGCACGCTGTCGTAAACCTGTGGGGGAGATACAGGTTCAACTAAACCTACAAAGAGAGAGAGAGAGAGAGAGAGAGAGAGAAAGAGAAAGAGAGACTAGTCCCGCAGTAGTCTCCGACAGAGAACACCGGTGAACACGAATATGGTACACAGTAGTCAACCGGAGGGTCGGTCAAACTGAGGGGGGGGGAGAGGGATGTACAAGCTGAGGGATGTACAGGTTGAGCAATCCATGTGTACACACACATACACAGGTTGTTTGTACAACAACTGTGATGCCATGTGCTATGCATGTGTCGCATCATCCCTGATGTCTGACGTGG